TTTGCCATCACTAACTTGTGGATTATAAACCCATTGACTATCGCCATGTCCACGAAGGCAAGAAAGAGCTGCTTGTAGTATTTTCTGAAGACGACAATCTGCTGAAGGGAGTAGCTCTGGAGACGTAGCTGGTCATGCCAGTCTACTCCGCCCATTCCCGAGTGGTAGTCGACACTAGCTGCGGACACGGTACTTGCGTCACCGCGCCTGTGCGCTTGTCCTTCCTCCCTACGTTAGTCACGGTAGTAGCGCACCCGGTGGCAATCATGTTTACCGGCTTGCTGTCCATCCAGGAAACGGCTAGTAGCTTCGGATGTATCGTCGAGTGAGCAATTCGGTAAGTTCCGCGCGGCATCCAAGCTGGTCGTTTCTTTTGTGTAAAGCGGAGATTCTTGGGTGCTCCCAAGCGGTCGCTGCGATGTGTCCCCACAAAGTAGTAGCCCTTGTCCAACAGGGTCAGTGCCAATGCACACGAGCTGTAGAAGTTGTCGGTAACAATGAGTCGCTTGCCAGGCTGCCCGTCCAATGCCTTAGCGATGTTGCGAATGACAGCCTTTTGCGCCACTCCCTTTTGCTTTCTTTGTGCTTTTGGGCCCCCCAATAACACTTCAATCTTTTTTAGACTTAACAAATTAAAACTTAACACAACCCCCTTAAGGTTTTGATTTTTTGGAGAATTATTTCTGTATAATACGACATACATCAGTTCTGATGAATACAGAGTAGCCGCTCTACCTTGAGCAATAGCCCGTTTCAGCGCAACACGTCATATAGCACTTCGTGCCATACTTATGCGGTTTGTCCTTGTTGTAAACTCGGATAGGATTGAACTGACTTCTATTGGGGATCGTGCCTTCGTCGAAACTCACTTTAGCGCCCATCCGATATCCCCGGCAAAACGTCGTCTCGATGGTTTGCAAGATCGGCCGCACTTTCCACGCCTTATCACCTGACGCTGGAACTGTTGTACCGCTGGCAAAGTGGAGGAACAGAGTGATCATAGAGGAACCGAGTGATCATCTTGAAGCGGTCGCGTTTCATGTACCGCCCAAACGTCCCACGAGGCACCGCACCGTCGTCGCGTGTTGACCAGTGCTTACTCAAACCATCGGTATGTCCACACAGTGTCCTAGCCACGAGAAGGCCAACGACATGAATTATTTCATGAAGTTGCACGGGTTTCACTCTCTGCAGCTTTGCCTTGATCTCTTCTAGTGACTGCACTTGTTTTTGCGGGTCTTTATCGTGAGCTGCAAGCTGACGAAGTCGAGTTTTTTCGGCGATACTTGGAATACAATGCAGGCGATACGCATTGGTTTCGTCGGTGATGCGCACCCACAGAGCTTTTGGCAGGAAATAGAAAAACATACCAAGAGGCGAGGCAGCAAAAGCAGCAGCTGACTTGGTAGGCCCAAATGTGCCATTGTAGAGATCGTCAGCACTGTCCAGTTGTAGCTCACCTGTATTCAGTGCCATCCAGAATAAGTTAGCTCAAATACAACAATTCTGTAGCATACAGATTTATTACCGCTGTGGTTCTCATCATACAACTTCCAACCGGACAGTCCGAGCTGGCGCATGGCATCGTCATCTTGTCGAAATAGCTCGCTCTCATCTTCGAATTCGGTGTCCGACTCGATTTCACTCTTGTACTCAACACAAACTGCTGATGGTGGGGCAACTGCGTCATCTTCGTCGTCACTTTCTCCGTCGTCTGGAAATGGCTCCGAAGATACGTTGATATCGTCCGTCGCTAAGGGACCGAACAATACCTCCGTACGCATGGCGTCGATAAAACCTTCGGTGTCAAAGGCATCCACACCAATGTGACGACCACTCTCGCTTGAATTGACACTGGTGTCCAGCTCTGGATCCTCCTGAATACACGCATTGTCGCTACCTTGTTCTGCATACTCCAGATTAGATCCTTCACCTGATGAATGGGTGGCTTCCTCATCAGGGGAACGTGCCGCTGGACTTGAAACCGCTTCAGTAGTATCTGCAGCCGCCATCGTCAAAGGTGAGGCTCGTTGGGTAGCGTCGGCTTGATTTGCCAGAGTTCCAGCGGGGGCTTCGCTTGCAGCAGCAGCTTGAGTCGTCGGGGTTTCAATGAGCACTCGAGCGGACGCAGCAGCAAGTTTTTTCGGTGGGGGAAGCGGTAATTTCAGCTCAAGCATTCCCTCAGTCCGAGCAAACATCATAAGCTCGTTTTCTCCTACGCCAAATCAAGTTATTTAGTCTATGAAGGACTTTAGATAGCAATTGAGCGCTAACTTACCAACAAAGTGGTCAACGCGGCGCTGTGCTGCAACTAAGCTGCGAGCGACACCAGGCTTCACATAGGTAAAGTCCACACTTAACCCCTTCGGTTTTCTCGACTTCCATCCCTGCTTGGAAAGCTCGCGCCATAGCTGCTTGAATGTTTTTTCGTACGGGCCGTTCATTATGGGGAGAACGGATTGTGCGGGACGAGAGTAATGTGTGGTCTGTGAATCAAAACGGCTCATTACAGAATTTTCAAACCTCCATGAATTTTATATTGTCTTTTCTATGATGCCAGTGAAATCCCCGTCTATCTTCGCTGCGAAGATCTTCAATGATAAAGTCGCATACAAAAAGATAGTATGCGGTGAATTAGGCTGATGGTAAGCTCGTTTGATATAAGATCCTGTCCTACAGCTTATTCTGTATGATACAGAATATCGTCTTAGAAGGGTTAAGCGATTTTACCACATGGTCACCTCGATTTGGCGACCACATAAACAAGAGCACAAACATCAGAAACGACCGTAGTGCCCTCAATTAAGCGCCCAATTCCACAAGGTTTTATTGCAAGTTATTCCGATATATGACAAATCCTACATTATTTTATCCGATAAGCTATCGCTGAAGATTTATGTGAAGAATTGTTTAAATAAAAACATTGATTTATCAATGTAGATTTTTTATTGTTTGAGGATTTGAGCAGTAAGTGATCTGTAGCCATTTTCGACCGTACCTACAGAAGTTGAGAGCGACGTGGGAGCTAACCCCAGATAGACCAACGGTCTTACCAATTCAAGGGGGCTTAAATTCATCCTCCCTCGTTGATAATAATGCATTCCAGCACTTTTTGCAAGCTGAGGAAGCATTTTTCAATTGTTTGCTATTTAACACCATTAAAAGCAACTTCTACAGCTTTGATGAGCCCATCAATTTGGTTTGTAGGCTGCCGATACTGTATGCACTGAATCGCATTAAATATTCCCAAATCCATTATATTACAGTCGGGTGAGCGTGGTGGCTGACATACCATCTTAATCTTCCAATTTTCTTTAAGCCCAGCGGCAACAACTTCTCCGTGGTCTTCGTCCACGTGGGGGTCAGCGTTGTCCTGTTCGACACAAATTATCAACGTTTTTCGGCCTACACAATAATTAACAAATATCGCTTTCAGAAAAAAGCTAGCAAAAATTCAAACGTACCCGGCCATTTCTCGCGAATGGCTGGAAAAATATCCAGCACCATATGCACGTACACTTTTCTTGACATGCTCCCATTTTTTGTGATGGGTGTGTCGGCGGGTCGATTTTCGGAAGTCTTTTTTGCCTCGGTGCGCTCTACAAAAGGCCATACTCCGACTTTGCCATCGAAATATTTTTTTCTTGAAAAATCATAGCGTAGTCTTGCTACCGCTGCAAGAAACATGGCTTAAATAGAGTACCGCTTGTTGGGGCACGATCGGTAAGGTAGAGATTCCTCAGCCACCAAATAGTACCGAGAAGATACCTTGTACATGTTAAACCATTGTTCATCTATATGAACAACATCATACATATCATCAAAGCGATACAAAAGTCCGCCTAAAATATTTGAAAATATGATTATCAATTAAAAAATAGCTCAATAATTATAAGAAATTACTTACCAATGGGACGCTTCACTTGACCAAGAGCCCACGTCAACCTCTAAAGATTGTGATCACTTGTCAGTCAGTGTAGGCCTCACTCTTGCAATAAAGCGGCGCATATGAGGTAGCGCTGTAGAGTCGACCGCGGGATAGCGAAGGACATTTCTAGAGAGCACAGAGTCTGGCGCTGGCAAATCGGCACCGTAGCCACACGCTCGCCTACCTTTTTAACAGTGAGGCGAGTATTCTGAAGAGGATACGGCCGGCGGGGTAGCACAAGCGCGGCAGGGTTGTCTCGTAGGCCCCAGATGAGCTCAATGGCGGCCCGGCTTAGCCGAAAGAGCTTCTTGAAATATCGGAGGCGGCCCTTCTTACTCAGTGTAGTCAGGAAGGCCACCACCGCAACGCGCGTCTTCGGTGATATGTCCTTGGCTCCGAGCGTTCGCACCATCGAGGCAAATTCAGTTTTGCTCCGTTCTAGTGAGCAACCTTTTAGTACCTCCAACCAACCATTTTACTGTGGATGGATACCCCGCTTGCTCTAAAACTACAAACTAATCAAATCATTTTAACTTTTTGTGTACCACACAAAAAACAAAGTCCCTATAAATTGGTGGGACAGAGAAGTACTACGTAGAGCATTTGATAGCATGTGTCAATTAAATGTATATGTATTGCATTATTAATACTCGGAGCGCTCCCGGCCATGCCAACTAGATGTGGGACGGCGTGAGAAATTGGGTCCGTTTCCCACTAATATAGATGGTCTTCTGTTAATACCATTATAATAGTTTGTATTTCAGGTTTTGTATCCGGTTTGGATGATATCGTACAAAAGAGCTCTCGGATTGTAGCTGTAGTCTCTGTCCACAGTGCTTATGCTTTTAACGGAATATGGTAATTCGATAAAATCAAGAGCTAACAGCATGTATTTTGCGATTTCCAGGCTATTGTACTGGCCAGATAAACTGATACACCACTTGCACATAACTTCACGTAGCTCACCCAAAATCAAGCGCACAGCAAGCGCGCTTCTGCAATCAGAGCTGTTGGCTCTCAGGCTTTATTACTTTCCTACCTGCATCCACTCGTGTTCATTATTGGAGTCGCGATGTCCCACAAAGCACCCCAAGAAAAGCTACTGATTATCCGTACCCATCAGTATTTTCTCGCGGAAGCTCAACAACGGCTTGACCCTCTAGGTCAAGCTGTACGCAAGCGTATTGCTACGTGTCTTGCGGGGTCAGCGAGCACGGTTGCGCGCGTAGTGGTGCTCTGGGACGCCAGTGGCGACGATGCATTTACCGAGCCTCCAGCCAAGCGTGGTTGCCCGCCAAGGTCTGTAGGTGCAACTTTTCACGGATATATTACGGATATGGTACACAACGTAATTTATTAAAGAAACCTACGACAGCAAAAGTCATCTGTTCAACTATAAAGAATTTGCCTGGTGATATTATCCAGGAAAGCACAGTGAGACGGGCGTTGGGACGAATAGAGCTCAGCTACGTGCGAGGCAGAAAACGAGATCCAAGGGCAGACACGGAAGCAAATGTGACATTTCGGCAAAAATATCTTGCAAACAAAACGTCAAATCATACAGCACGCTTATATCCTAGAGTAACTGAATCTATTTAGACGAGAGCTATTGTAATGCGAACCACGTTGCGGGCGCAACATGTGTACTCAATAACTTGCCTCATTATGTGGCGAGTGGAGCAGGACAACTATACTTTATCTTTGACGCTGGAGCTGTCATGGTGAAGAATGATGGGCTGCACGCAGAATGGGTGCCGGGTGTAATTCGGACATGGCCCTCACACTTGAAGGCAGACGGAAACTCGGACTACCACGGCAACTTCACGGGCGAGCTTTTCGCCAGGTGGTTCGAAGAACTCTGCCGTCTATTACAGCATTGGTACGGGTCGTGCCGTATTCACATGGATGGCGCGGCGTACCACATGGTCATAGAAGACCCTGATCCTTTCAGCTCCAGGTCCAAGGCCGCCATGGTGGCTGCATGGCCAAAGCGTTACAGTCTCTAAAGATGACTGCACGAAGAAGCAGCTGGAGCGTCTCATTGCCCAGGTAAGTAAGGCGTGTGTGCTCTTCAGTTTTTTGAACTGATTGTCGTTGAGTTCTGAGCTATCGATCAGCAACACCTCCCACTAGTATACGCCCCCATATCATCCCGAGTTGCACCCAATCGAGATGATTTGGGGGGCGCTCAAGAATAGGATCGCCATGGGGCCAGCGTCCTCGGTGGCCGACCTGGGGAGCTAGATCGCTGCTGGTTTGGAGGCGATTACGTCTAAGGAATGGCTGGGGGCTTACAAGTAGATGAGAAAGCAAGAAAAAGCGTACATGAATCTGGTGCTACCTCCTCAAACAACCCCTGCACCGTCGGCTCAGGAGCTGCAAGACCTGAGCACCGCTGACGTTACAGACACGCAGAATGCGGTAAGCATCGAAACGTTGGAGGGGTACCATATTTATCTTTAATATATAGTTCTAGAGGTGTTTACATGGGCCAGGATATTAAATATGCGAGATCTTGTAAATTACAATCGAAATCCTCTGTTTGTACATAGTCTTGGCAAGATTGTCTACCAATCAATTTCAGGACACGTGTGTTTTGTTTAAGTATATCTCCATCGGGTCTTGGTTTTACGGGATCCTGTTTAGCTCATTAAACCAGACTGTACAGAGCTTTAGATGGTACCTATTCGTTAGTATATCGCCAGTAGAACGGAAGTTATTAACCGTTTAAGTCCGGTGATCTGTATTATACAGAATATGTAATAGTCTTGTACTAGCTTCCGTTCCCTCTTGCTGGCTTCATCTTGGGCTTCTTTGAGTACTCATTTCTGCGCACCGAGCCCGGTGGCACTCTCCCGAATCAGAAATAGGTACGTGCACTTTATTTGACGATCGGACGTTGTTGTTGGGTATAACCTGGCTGGCTTTACTGGGCGCTGCGTGTTTTCTCTCAGTGAAAGAGCGTTTGCCTTGCTCTATGCAGAAGGTTTACCATGATTTGTGTGGACTCCTTGCACTTATTGGCCTTGCGCTTTGTCGTTCGGTCACGAATGCGCTTTCTGCCGACATGACTTGCCTCATCCAGCACGAAGACTAGCGGGTGAGAAGGCTTAGTTTCTGCTTTTATGTTGCGTCAATGTGCTTCGCAATCTAGGTTCATGTGAGGAGTTCAACCGTCCAACTACTCGCCAGAATACTAATGAGGACCACGTTTTGCTTTTCAATATTGTTTTGTTCTGGGGGGGGGGATCACCAACCCCAAGTCTTATTCTGGATACACTTATCGTGCTTCCATCACAGTGCATCATCCCACCCGACAGCATTCAGACCATTTAATGCTTCCTGAACACGTTGAGGCTCCAGCAGCACGTTGGCATCTTGTATGACCAACTTCGCAGGAATGTCAACGTCTGATCCGCGATAGCCGACGAAGCAATGTAGCTACTTCTGGAGCTGGTACATTCCGGTCATCGCATTTGTCGTCATTTTCATGTTCACATTCACTGTCATTTCACCGTTTTACCTCAAAGGATTAACGTTTTGGGTTTTAGGGCTAAACCCTTCTGTTACCAACACTAGTTAAACGTAGCAAAATGCATCGTTTTACAACATCCATGCATTTCTGCAGAGTGTTCCAGGAAATGTGCAGGCTGACTAAACGGAATGGTAATGCCCTCGTTCTCGGTGTCTTCGGTTCGGCCGGCACATTAACATTGCACTCCACAAATCCTCAATGACGCCCCCCCCCCTCCACGCACACACATACACATTGAAGGTGAAAATACGAAATAAAAAAGATGGTCCGTTGCAATTGGATCCAAGTTGCTTAATGAAAAATGCTCTCCTCCCAGCCTTTTTAACACGCTACCGAGCTGCTTTCGTCGGTATTGCCATTCATCAACTTTAGTACCCGATAGCTCTAAGAATAAATGGTATAGCAAAAAACCCTCCCCGGTACTCCTGGGTTCCCCAACTTGTTGGTTTGCAGCATCTTTGGAGTGAAGACGATCACAACGCATTCTCATGTACGTAACATGGGTACGTTTGGACGATCTAGAAAAGAACGAATGAATTATTTTTCGCCAATAGCACCACTTGAACGCAAATAGGCCACTTGCACATTAATTCGAGCGCCCATCTTCACAATGAGGTAGACGCATTTTTCGCTAACAGCACGCATCTCGTTCGAGCCAAGACCCACCATTCTTGTTCCTCACCAGCCTGTTTATATAGCACTGTACGCTTTTAACCAAATAAGCTAAGCTCCTACTGTTTGATGTCGCGTTCTCAGGGCCTGGCTGAGTAATTTACGTCATTGAACTAAGAAACACCCCCACACAATGTCCTTGCAGAAGAAGGTTTTTAGCCCCCCCCCAGGTATAGTTTTGCTTAAACTTAAATCAGGTGGATGACTATCGTACGTAACCAACCCAATCTAGCACATGTCGCTTATTCGCTTTTGAGACGGCCCTGTGACACGACATGTTACTGTCAGATTGTACGATATCCGTGTCATCTTAGAATCCTTGTTCGCCGAGCACGGTAAGGCATCACCACTTTGATAAACTCCATATTCAATCCAACTGTAGCGCCACTGCGCAAGCTGGCCCTCGATTGGTACACTTCTTGTCGTTGTTTGCACCGCCGCAGCACACGACAGCCGCTGTTGCTTTCAAACAGTGGTAGCTCGACGTGACCCATGCTAATCCAATATACGTGCGGTGAATTGATGTGACCAATTTTGCCCTCCATCCTTTAGTCTCCAGGCTATCAACCCTAACTAATTTAAGTTGGGGTTGTTGTCGCCAATGTACGTTTGAATGGCGACGTAAGTTCTGAATGCGGTAGTTAGTTACTCTGGACTCGTACGGTCACATCACCAGCTCGTTCGCTGGATCTATCCTTTCCATCGTATTCTTCGAAGAAATATGCCGTGTTCGCTCGTATAGTAGTCATCATCAAAACCTGGGTGCATGAATACACGTCACTAGCTGACGCAAACCCATGCCATCTTCATCCAGCAGGCGTAGCGGTAATAAGCCTTCCACGCACATGACAACACAACGCACTTGCATTTTGTTGTGTGATCTTACCACTCGAATTCTGTGCTTATCCTGTCAATGCGTGAACTTAGATACAGTTGATTGATCAGTGTCGGGTTTTAGATTAGCGCATTTTGCATTCTAGTGACCTCCTTTATCACACGCAAAACGTACACGAGTTTCAGGCTTTTTGCCCTTTATCACCCCTTCATATTTGCATGCTGAGGTGCAGAACCCCCTTCGCCCGATCCGGTCAAAGATCAAGCATCGTATACCACCAACATAGATCTCGCCACCGGAAGGGCTACTCGTAGCATCTATTCCAGCTCTCCAGCTTGGCTACAAGCTTGCTGAACCAGCTGTACCTGTTTTCACAGTAGACGTCAGCGCTGACTGCCGTCATGACGTAAATAAATGCTACTAGCGCACCAGAAGAATCGGCACTCGCTGCATTACTCTTGCTTGGTCACGCATATCACTCGCCAGATACCCCTAGCGTCGGTGGGCTCAGAAACAGCTCGTTTGAAGCGCAGATTGAAGCGATTGGGTAAACCCGATTGATAAAAAGAAGATTAAAAAGACGTTTTTTCAAGAGAGAAAGTTTAGGATTAAAAAGGAAACCCTGCAGGTGAGATCCCCTTGTTGTACATAATATATACAAAAACGATACTAAAACTAGTAGACAGTCTACCGTATACTGAGACCGGCTCAAATAGCAGTGGAGTGGTGGGGCTCGACACACATTCGTCACACAATCAAGAAGTATTTCTCAATGCCTATCATCTTTTAAACAGGATGCCTGGTTTATCAAATCTCTAAATTAAACCTGTCAAAAAGGGGGGGGGGTCAATAAGGTGGAATACTAAATTTATAAAGCCGTTCTTAGCACAGGTAGACAGGCTATAAGTGTTGTATCTGCGATCTGCGAGTCCCGATCGCGTAACCGTCAGAATAAATTAAGTAGCTCCGATCTTAAAAGGGGTGTTTATGCACCGCCCACTACGGTTTTGGCTGGTGGATCGTATTTAGATGTTCAAGATGTACCATAAATCTGAGCTCTTTCTTTAGGCGGTTGCACAAGGGTATTACAGCAGTTTTAAAGTGCTCGGAGTTCGCTATTCAGCTCCCGATAACATCAAGTGCAACTGGCGCTGCTGCAAATGTGTTTCAGAAGAAGAGCACGGAGGGAGTTCTGGACGACTGTGTCGGCTGCGTAAATGGTAATGCTGTTTAATATAATATATTGACACCTTCGCAAAAGACGGCAGGAAACGTACCAGTCTATTTCTCTGGTCACTATCAGCACATGGATCTAAATATTCAAGCACCCTGTGATGCCAAGTGTCGCTATATGTTCTTCGTTGTCTCTGCTGCTGGTGAATCAAGTGACGTGTGGGCATTTAAAAGGACGAATCTGGCAAAGGCTGTTGGTGAGTCAAAAATGACACTGAGATTCTTGGGTAAGTGGTTTGCGGCGTTCATTCATCGTTGTGCTGAAAATCCTACCGTTTTTGATCATTTTTCATACGCTGAGCGACAAGCGCAAACACTACATCTTTTTTTTGTTTTTGTATCCTTTGATACCACTGGCAATATGGAAGTCGCGCGATTCGAAAGTTCTCATCTTTAAGAGGTCGACTCCGCTCACGCTGGTAATAGCTGACACATACACAGCGATGGCCTCACGGTCAGCCGCCTTCATTTCTATTTAAAGTCGTCGAAACTCAGCTGACCTAGTATCATGACCGAATTGTCAACTTGGGGGATGTGCAGTGTCGTCTCGGTAATAGAGTCGAGTGGCGTCTCGAGTGCAGGTGCCGGCGCGCGGAAGACTTGAGCGAGGTCAAGAGAGCTTGTCGATCGAAATGTACTGTCATGTCCAGCGGCTTCGCTCGTTTGAGGGTCTATATTCTCATGTATCGATGGTTGGGTAAAAGGGATGGAGCTCGGAAAGTGGATGGTGTGTCCAACGATAAGAACGACGAAGGAGTTGTGCGCTCATCGACAGAAACCGGCGTGTCAAGTACTGCATGTACCGGTACAATGGCTCAGCTTCTGTTAACTTTTCGATTACGAACGCTTGTTAAGCGATATTAACAGCTACATCATCGTTGCAGTTTGCTAGGAGCTCAACGATTATCAATTCCTTATTTCTGACCCAAAATGAATAGTGTGATAGTCAAGTGCTCACCGAGCAATAGCACCGATTATTCTCGGTCACCACATAGTGATAAAGAACATTTCACGTTTTGGTGATCTACAGCAGCTTTGCAGCAGTGAGTGCAGAAGTAACGCTCTTCGGGGGTTCAAAGTCTCACGCAACAGAGCTGGGATTACTGCCTGGCAACTTGATCTGTCATGGCAGCTGATGCCACAAGCCCGGCAGCATCACCGAGTACATATACAGCGACACAGCTAGATCGGCACTTGTCTACCCTGCGCCCCCTCTTCACACTCATGTCCAGCCCCCTATCCGCTGTACAACGCCTTCAAGGACACGTGGCTCAGCACTAGCTCTTAGAACATCACCCCTTCCACGTTCTCCAAGACTACGTACGTTACGTACGCCGGCTCGAGCTCATGCAGAACCCCTTCCCGGAGCGTATCGACAGACGAAGCACGCTCTTTGCGCGATTGGTCCTCACAAGCCTGAGCGGTGGGACTTCATACGGTTGGTTCCACATGAGCTTAATGCGTCACCTGTAATGGGTCAAAAGCGGACTTCAAAGGACGCTGCATATGCCTAGTGAGAGAGGTATAACTGTAAGGTTACTTACTCGTTTGGGCGACTCTTGGTGTGAACTTGCACATGGAGAAGTACCATATGGATGTGTTACTGAAACCAAAGCGGACAAAGGAAAATGAAACGGCGGTGCTAACAGAGAAGTGGCTGCAGAATGCGCACCGGAAACTTCAAAGCACTATTAAAACACAGGCTCAGCAGAATTATGCTGACGGCCTGTTAGCCAAGTGGGTTGCAGAGTTTATGCGGTCATTATCAATTGTGGAGGACCCTGGGCTTTGTGAATTTTACGGTTTCTCACGTATGGGCTTGTTGGTATCATATGAGACGTACCTGGGGTCATACAACTGCAAAACGACGTCGTCCGGATTGCCGCTGAACTCAGAGCGTCATTGAAAGCACGAATATGCTCCGGCTGTCGGCGCATCTGCGTCACTATTGATATCTGCACAGGCGGAAGAGCACATAGCTTTATAGCGTTTACGCCGCATTTTGCGGACGCAGATTTCATGCTCTGCAATTGGACACATGCAATAGAAGCCTTATCAGGAATTCATACGGGTGTTGCCATTGCAGCATGTTTGAATACCATGCTGAAGCGATGGGATTTAAGCCCTGCAATGTGAACAAATTGTTGGTTCTGTTATGGTGCTGCAAACGTGGTTCTGGGAAGCAGCATTCTAGGCGTGAAGAACATGTCATGTATTACTCATTCGCTGCGCTAGGTAGCTGGTGGGGCACTTTCACGGTTCGTGAAGCGCTCTGAATCAAGTGCATCAGAGAGATTAGTAATTGCCGTTGCCGGCCAAGACTTCGAACTGGCATTGTCTGAGCCAGACCAAGAAGCTTTCGGTGGAAACAAAGATCAAGCCACTCAGCCAGAGCGGGCTGCGTCACTAGCAGCGGTTAAGTAGTCTTTATCCACACCACTTTCGGAACGAGACGGGTCAGATCGATCCGCACTTATCCAGATTTTGAAGACGGCTCAAACGTTTCGCGTCCTCGCCACCTACTTTCACAAGTCGGCTAAGGGAGCAAATCGTCTTGACAAAATTCAAGCCAAATCCTGGAAACAGGCAGCACTTCGCGTGGTTACTGGCTGCCCAACACACTGGAGCTCGTGTCGTGACATGGCGAGTCGTATGAATGAACTGGAAGCCCCTCTAGATGATTTTGGCACATAATTGGAGATGCCCGAAGGAAAAACGGAGTTTAGATAACTAAATCAGGACAAGTACCCAACCCCGAGAGAGTGGTTCTCGATCAAGTACCCGGTGGCGCTCCTTGATCCAATAGCTGCCGTGGTTAATGCTCTGGAGGTTTGTAGCTATCCTACCTGAGCACTGGCTTTCACCATGCCTCGTCGAATATAAAAGGCGCTCAGCAGTCCATCCACTTGTTGGCACTGCTCCTACCGTTGAGCAGCTTTGTGCCGCATGTTAAATCGAATTTGCAGCGTATTTCGCAGATACAAGGAATACTCCAGGTAGACAAGACCCACAACTGTGGCGGTCAAGCAAAGGTCACAAGTTCCCATTGCTCAAGTTGCTGGCAAGGAAGTAGCTCGGTTGCGTGGCTACATCAGTATTATCAGAACGGGCATTTTCAACAGCAGGTAACAGTCACATCTACGCGTTATCAGATGGATAGCGAGCTAATGCGCGGCTTAGACTTCATCTCTGAGAGCTATGCTGGGCCAAAAAATAAAATAAACGATCAATGAGAGAATATTCACGTATAATAAGACAAAAGGTCTGCGTCGACAACAAGCTGATTGACGTCTTAAACTCAATTTCTTGAGGACTGCCCTACCACACCAAGACCGCAGTCATCGGAAAAGCGCAGCCTGAAGCTGCGGTCTCGACAGTAGGTCACCCGGAGTAATACATGTTACTTTGTTTTTTTAGTCTGCATAGGATTGATGCTCTTGACAAGCTCAAATTTTTTGTAACAAACTGTACGAATACTTCGCGAATAGCTCCTGTCGGTTTATGCTGCTGTTTTACTCATACCGTAGCCAGTTCTTGTAATTGATACATGTCTTCGTTTATCCCCTAATCTCTTACTTCCAAAAAACGCACTATGATGAAATACGATACCCTCCAATATTGCATCATCGTTTTAAAAGCATTCTCTCCGCACAATCAATAGCATAAAATCCATTCACAGACGATATTAATGAGCGGCAGCTTGCACGTGGACCGCGAGCTGCTTTGGCGGAAGCTCTTTGCCTTCGACCATCAACCTGAGGATGCGCTCACCGGTATTCAAGACAGCACTGATCATCTGTGCGGTGTCATCCAGACTGCCGTAGCCCATGGGCGTCACGAGCCTTTGCGCCAGATGCTGTTGCAGCGACTCGGATATTGGCTACGCTCAGATGTGGTGCCGCCGTTTTGGAGCTTCTTTGACGCTTTACCAATTGAAATTGGGCGTAGCAGAGATGTCAGACGTGGTCGTAGACATGTTGCTCTGCTGTGCGCGCAGCAGCTTACGCTAGCGCTACAATTCGCCGAAGACGCCTTTGCCCATTGCGTGCAGATCGCTAGTCTCTTCGATGACCATGTACAGCTTAAAGATGGACAGCCGACTATGTTGCAAGAGCTCAGGACCACTTTTCGCTGCCTAGTGTTTGAGGATACGCGGACAGTTGTGAAATTTGAAGAACTGTTGCTAATTTTCTTCTCTATGAGCTTCCAGAAGTTTCGGGGCAAGGAGAAGTCGCAGACTTTTGACTCCAGACCCATCCGACAGACATTACTACAGCTGGAATGGCTACATGTAGCCGAGCCGGCACTACTGAGAGTATTACACTCGCAGATCAAGAAGGTGGTCAAGTCGACGTGTGGAGAGGTGTACGATGAGCTGTTTCTGACAGAAGTGGAGCAGTGGGCGTGCTCTGAATTGCTGCCGTGGCTGGAGGAGATCATGCAGACTAAAGACGAAGCGTCGACAGGCAAGTGGAGAGAAATTCTGTCCCGACATGTGCGACAGGAGTTTGGGAGTCAACGTATTAAGCAGCTCTTTGAGATTATCAAGGAGTTCCCAGACAGGTGAGGAGAGCTGGAGATAGGTGTATAGCGATGATGAATAACTAGACTTGGTCATGCAGCGTTCCAGCTCTAGAAGACTTGAGACTGTGTCTTGAGCGCACACAGCAGCACGGTGAACTTTTGCAGGAGTTTCGAGGTGCATTGCAGTCGAGGCTACTGCAGCCAGGAGCTAACACGTCTGCGATTCTCGATATTTATGTATCTACTATCAAGGTACAGTGGTCTACTATTTTGTTGGTGGTTTGAGATAGTACCTTACTTTACTTCTTGAAGGCGTTCCGGCTGTTAGACCCCAAGGGTGTGTTGCTCGAAGCTTTGAGCTGCCCGGTGAAAGAGGTAAACAATAAACCTAAAGATGGCACGTACGCGGATGGGATAGCTAATGTCTATGAACTTCATATTGACAGTATCTGAGGAAACGCAAAGACACAGTGCGCTGCATTGTCCAGAGTCTCACTGATGAACAAAGCGGCGACTTGTTCGAGGAACTTCGTCGAGACAATATGCGCATTATCCAACATGACGATGACAGCGATGACGACGAGGACATGTCACCCGATGCATGGGAACCGGATCCGATTGAAGCCGACCCGACAAAAACATCGCGTAGCCGAAGCAGTGATGACATCCTACGGATTCTTGTACGCTTGCTGATTGCACGATTATTTGCGATAACTTGTTGCTGAAGCTTTTATTTTTGTTAGGTCAACATTTACGGAAGCCGCGATTTTTTTGTGAATGAATATCGGATGATGTTGGCGGATAAGCTGCTGCAGAATCTCGAATTCGATACAGATCGTGACGTGCAGACGCTGGAGTTACTTAAGCTGCGCTTTGGCGAAGATAGCTTGCAACAATGTGAGATCATGGTGCGTGACATTGAGGATTCCAAGCGGCTCAATGGAAACGTTCAATCAACGTTGGAGAGATCTGGGGCCACGGCGATAGTAGCCGTCCAAGGAAGCTCTGGCGAAGAAGCAAAGGGGCTTTTTGCCCAACCTGGAGCCTTCTCCACTCGGATCGACGCTACGATCGTTTCTCAGCAGTTTTGGCCGTCATTGCAAGGTGACGACTTCGTGCTGCACCCGAAAGTGTCGAAGGATATTGATGCGTTCAAAAACGCATACCACGTATTACGCAACCCGCGGTCTTTGGAGTGGAATACTTCGCTTGGCTCCGTTCAGGTGCGTTGACTTGACGCGTTTAAACTATCATTGTACTCGCACTAATCATCTCGTGTTACGGCTTTTATGTAGCTCTCCATCGAGTTGGAAGGTGAAGAGCGCGAGTTTAACGTCTCACCTCTTCAAGCCACAATGATACTCTACTTTGAAGAGAAAGGTGAGTCACATATATGTGGAAGATACTATCCCAATGAAGTCCTTACACTTTGATATTTTTCAGATCGATGGAGTGTTGAGGAGCTTGCTACGAAGCTGGAAATCTCAGCTGATGTACTGCTGAAGCACGTGTCTCTGTGGGTTAATCACGGGTTAGTATCATTTGCATCAGGGCGAAGAGAGCTGGTGGCTAGCGTGTCCTTCCAAGACACTCGGTGCAACGATGACTCGATGGTTGAAGAGCTCGAAACTGCAGTGTCATCGGACGCACAGGCAGAAGAGGATTTTAAGGTTCTGGAGACGTACATCGTGGGGATGCTCTCGAATTTCGGGTCTCTGAGTATTCAGCGAATCCACAACATGCTCTCTACATTCGCTCGAAGTGGCGCCCAACCATGTACGTGAGCCACAGCAGTTCGTCAAGGCAAAGTTCAAACTTTCTGACGATTTATTTGTTGCTATGTTGAAGACACCAAGACGATCTCGGGGCTTTCTGTGGTGCTCGGCAAGCTTGTCAACACAAACAAGCTCGAGTTCGTTGGCGGCCAGTATCAATTGGCCAAGTAGCTTGCTCCGCCTTCCCTAGTGTAATATCTTTCCCGACCTTCAGAAGCCATCAGGACAGGTCTTGCGCGTGTGGCCAATTGCAGCACACGTCAAGCAGATCGGCTTTGGTGCTGCTTCAGTCTTCTTCCCACGCTTGGGCGAGAGTTGACCCAGCGAGTACGCTCTCGCCAGCCGCTTCTCGTACGTTAGCCCGCTGTGGCAGCCAAACTGAAGCAAGAATAGGAGTATTAACTAAAAGTACTATTTACAAAGAAGTCTTTTCCTCACCTTGGCATTCGTCTCAAGGTCCTTTGGCACGTCGTAGTACTTCTACAATAGCACGTCAATACTAGGTGAAAAGAATCGTGTAGTACATCTCTACGTGCCTTAATGAACTCGACGATCGTCTTCATCTCCTTGGACACCTCGTGCTTTTCATGCTTGCGTTTGTACTTGACCGTCTACAGAAATACACCGTTAAGAAACTGAGGTAGTGCTACTCTAAAGCTGTTTTAGACGCCCACCTGGTAGATAAAGGTAGGAACGTGGTCGCCCGACTCTTCGTCGCTAGCAGTAGGCGTTGTGGTCTCCTTCTTCTTGGAGACATGTTGCTTCTTAACGACCGGCAACGAGTCCACCTTCTTCCCGTGCGCCGTGGGCTGCTTAGTCACGCGCATAAAGCTCGTAATCTTGGTCATATTTACTGGCTGGACTTTGAATTTAAAAAGTCTTCTATCGATTAAGAAAACATTTATTGAGCAAGTTGAAGTGCGACATGCAACGTAAGCAAATTAAGAGCACCGTAGCAGAAACTTAAGCACTTCAGCCCCCTTTTTCTTAGAGAAAAAACTTCTTGTGTGCATGGAGTACGCGAGAGAGAAGAATTGTAAGTAGCTTTCTAGTACCTACACGATCGAGTGGCCAGCGTTGAAGCGCGCGCAATTATGCAGCGTGTCGCTGGCGTATGCGGTCTTGTGTCCTTTATTGTCGTCACAACGACCGAGGCATCATTTGTAAGTTTCACGCAGACAGCGATTAATATGGTGGAGCTTTCGCCTGCTGAGCGCGAATACTGTCGAGACGTGACCCTGCAAGTTATGGATAGAACGCTTCACGACTACGCAGACACCGCATCTTGGTCTTTCGGTAGTAAATGTAGCATCCCTGACGCCGAGCACGAGGGATGGAGAAAACTCCGGTCACAAGGAAATGTGGCAATGTATTCCGAAAATTCAACAGATCTGGTGTGCATGACATCAATACGTGGAGGCGACTGGCGCCACCCCGTTGCGGTCGTGGCTTTAAGTCACATGTGCTGTTCACTACAAGGACGTACTGTACGGTTTGGTAGCATCTGATCCTGCCGAGTTCAAACTCCGCTCCGTGTTGATGGACTGTAAAGTAGAAGACGACGTCGAGGTGGTCCACTGGAAATAATCACAACTCCGTCAGAGACAGAGCCATTCGAGCTTATGGGCGTGACAAGATATGTTATCAACCACGGCTATCTCCATCGTCACGAGTATTTCCTGGTGGCAGCTACAGGAGGAGTCTTCACTTCATGCGGGGAACATCTAGGCTATCAAATCTGTCACTCGGTGTCGCTATCGCAGTGGCCAGAGACTAACAGAATGACTCGGAAGAGAGTGATTCAAGCTCGAGTCTTGCGAGAGCTACCTGATGGAACTGTTGGGGTTTACTACAAGGTCATTGTGGACTCCAGAAGCTTCATACCGGATTTAGTCGTACGAACCTCTCTGTGGCACGTTGTCCAGAATGTCTGGAGAATGGCACCGCGGTGTGCTGATGCCAAGAAGCTCTGCTACTGCGTCGAGCACAAGGACTGTTTGAACCTGTCAGCACAACGTTCACCTTGTGGCATTACTGAGTCAATTACATGCGGCGTATGTGACTCCACTCTACTCAAAAGTCGTCTCGAAGCCGTGGCAAGTTCACTAAAAGCAATTTGGAATGGGAATCCAAAGACAAATTGGTGCGCACTTTGTTCGATATCTCTATGCTTAAAGTCCCGCTGTGGCTCAAATCGACAACTCGTGCGAATTAACCGCTATAGTATGGAAACGGATTGGCAAACGGTAGCGATCTGTACGAGCTGCGCCAATTTTATCCGTTCTAAAAGTGCTGTCGAGATCGCACGGCGTGGGCTTACAAGAAATTCACTTAATTTTTAAGGATAAAGAGGCACCCTATGCAGGATCATGTTGAAAACATCGAAAAAATCTAACGGCGAGAGAAAATTTAACAATAATTACAAAATTATTTGTCGTCAGTCAGCACACATGGCTCTGGAGATGAGGAAAGCAAGTCTTGTTCCCAGTTCGCCAACGTAATTGCTCCACAATGACGTGACGACTGCAGCTCCGACAGCTCGGACCTAGCCACATTTTCTGCACTTTGGCCTCGCACGAAGGAAATGCAACGAGGACAAACCATTAACGTTTGCTCGTACATTTTCGTTTCGCTGCTGCAAACCATCTTTAGCTGGCAAGCTGACCGGCAGTATGACGCCCCACACAGCCACATATTACAGAGCTCACACTGTTTCCCTGGTGTACGCTGTTCTGGTTCTCCAGTATTTGCACTTTGGGATTTTTGAGTAATAACGCCACATCCAGCACAGCCAAGCAACAGAGTGGAGCGCTGCAAGTCCGGGGCCAAAGACTTTCGATTCTTCATACACCAACGTAATTTTTTCAGATCAATGGCGCGTGGAATGAATTTCCAGAAGTCCATGGCCGCTCGACACACAGCTCCCTGCTTGACGGCATCTGGGAGGCGGGTTTTCGCATCATAGACAAACTTGTTGTACATTATCACCGACCTGTCGGATTTCTCCCAAAAGACTCGAGCTTGGATCATCTGCGTTCGCGGCAGCGAGGAGGATTGAGCGTATGTGTCTCGCAACGCAACCGATTGCACCATTTCGTAGCCACAGCGGTTCCCGTTTGAGGATGTAATTTCCCCTGTGGCACACGCAAGAACCATTTCGCGGGGTCCGACAAACATCGTGAACGGCCAATGCTGCGAGTTTACAGAGCGAGATACTGCCATGTTCTGAAACGGAGCAGTCTGCGATGGCCTCACTATCGATTCATGTCGACAATTCACCTCGGGGCGTCGACCTCTCAGCACGCTCCTCATTCGCTGAGTCGCAACGTCCGGTGTGACCAATGCGAGCAGTACGTCATCTACGGAGCAATTCATCTCTCCGATGGACACTACCGAGATAGGATGATCCCAGTCTTCTCGATGCATAACGGGGAGCCACGCGGCATTCGGGCGTCGATCGGCGTACAACGTCACGCTTAAGTGGGACTGGAGCTTCTTCCACCGTTTATTGTCGAGGCGTGCGTGGCAATTCGAGCCGGCCGTGTCCAAGTCGAGTTCCTCACATTCAAACAAAGTTCGGTCGAGCAACTGGGTGGTGACATCTTGACAGTACTCCCGGTCTTCTGCTGACAGTTCCAGCATGATTGCGATGGGTTCACGATGACTGGGGTCCGCTACGTGGTGAACTGGAGAAATGCGAAGTGGAGCAAACGCGAACGAGGTCCAAAAGTGCAACAATTCTGTCAATTTGACGGCATGGAATCACTGAGATTTGCTTGGCATGAGCAGAGAAGCTGTAAACGGCAAGGCACTCCCTTGAAGGGAGCATGTGCGTCAGCATGGTTGGTTGAGTGAGCCTTGACACTCGAAACTGACTGCTGTACAGGCTACAACAGTCAGTAAACCTGTGGTACAGTTGTGCTGACCATCATTGGCTGTTGTACCTCTGCCCATTTGCGACGAAGCGAAAGGAGTCGACATCTCAGAAGTGTGTCCGCTTCGCGGTCCTAGGGAACCTTCAATGCACCACAATCAGGGATTGCTGCAGTATAATGATATCTGCTAATACTCTGTAATAATTAATAATATCGTGACTACTATTAATTATTATATTCGACCTATTAAACAAATACAATAATGATCACAATGTAGTATCTTAAGTTCCACAAAATTACTATAATCAAGCGATAATAATAATAATAGCCCCACCCCGATCTCCAAGAGATGCAGAGGTTTGAGAACCAGTCATCTCTACCAAAATAAAACAAGGCTCCTGGTGTCATTCAAGGATTAGTCAACCACCTCTCAACCGTTAAGCTCTGACTTGAGGGCGTTTGTACACGTCGTGGCTCGAGATAATGAAGTGTGCTGCCATTCATTGCTGCTGTCCAGAAGTATAAATATCAGTAGTGTAACGGGGTACGTAGCCCTAAGTGTACCCTGGTTACATGAAGTGTGATACTTCACACTTCAGGAGTATGACACGTCATACTCCGAGATATTTGGTACAAGGTACCAAGGTCGTTCAAAGCCAACCATTGGTTAAATGACATTGCATTTCTATAGGTAAGTAACAGTTTGTATTAAACCCAAACTTAATCTACCTATAAATATACTCAGTTTACAATCTACCTTATTTGGGTCACTTCGCTCTCTTTAATAAAAGAGGGGACCTGTGAACTGCCGTTCACTGAGAGTTTGTATACTCTCGGAAGATAACTTCCTCTTGCGCAAGGTGCTGTGCGACCCCGTCACACTTGGTAGCACTTGTAGTCAATCAACGCCATCGCGGGTAGACTACCTGAACCTCCGAAGTTCGTTGCCATGGATAGGAACGACTTCTCCCATTTGAACGACTCTCAGTTCGAGTCGGTTCGGAAGATGGCAGGCATCTTGGGGATGGAGGCCCTGCAGAGCCTGGTGGTGTCAACACCGGCTGAGCAGCTCGAGCGCGTCAATGCATTCGACGCGTACGAGCAGGGCCTCATCGCGCATGTGCGGGAGAACCTGCAGGCTCCGGCGGCGGAAGCAAATCCGCCTCACCCGAAGCCAATACGGCTGAAGGTAAAGCCGTATGAAGGGAAGGAAGGCGAGAACCTTCACTTCTGGGTCCGAGAAGTAGAGCTCGCGATGGACGCGGCTCTGATCTCGACCGAGCAACTGCGTGTTGCTTTTGCACTCTCCAACCTTAGCGGTCGTGCTAAGAGTTGGGTGTACACTCGGGAAGCAACATCCACTGGATGTTTCACATCCTGGGCTCGGCTGTGCGAACGGCTCCGAGCCACGTTCCTCCCGGCGAACTACGAGTACCGCCAGCGTTCGCGCTTCCTCGCGTGTAAACAAGGAAGGCGCGAGCTGCACGAGTATGTGCAAGAGATACGGGAGCTCACGGCGTCCCTAGTGGGAAACCCACTCAATGAACACATCAAGATGACTGTGTTCATGGGTGAACACGGAACTTCACAAGGGCATATTACATTGCCAGGAGCTCCTTGTCATGGACAGGGTAGTTCCGTTTGGCGGCTTTGAGCTGCCGGGACTGGAACGAGATGACTCGTTCCTGTCCAGCCGTGTCGTCCTGCAGCAATGCACACCCGATGGCGTAATCGGAGGCATCGCAGACGACGCTAAACGGCTTCGTCTCGTCCGGCAGGGCCAGGACAGGGGCCTCTTGGAGACTGGCCTTGATGCTGTCAAAAGCATCCTGGTGCTCTTGCTCCCAGCGCCAGTCGACGTCCTTCTGAAGGAGGCTCGACAAGTGCTTAGCGAAGCCCGCGTACCCAGCGCTGTACTTGTGAAGGTAGTTGGCCAAGCCCAACCACTTTCGAAGATCCTTCTGGGATCGGGGCGTCGGCCATGCTGCTATGGCCTTGACCTTGTCTGAGTCAGCCCGAACGCCCACGTTGCTGACGAAGCAACCGAGAACTTTAATCTCTGGTGACGCGAAAACGCACTTGTCGATGTTGGCCAACACTCGACGGAGATGTCCTAGATGCACCTCCATGGCCGTCTTGCCTCCCTCGGCACGGCTATGGACGAAAATGTCGTCAAAGTACGTCTGTACGAAGGTACGCAAAGGGCGGAACAATTGTGTCACCAGGCGATTGAACGTCGCCGGGGCGTTAGACAAGCCCTGCGGCATGACGAGCCACTCCTAAAGCATGCCGCTTGGAGTGCTTCCCGCGGTGAGCGGGATGTCACTCTCTCGCATCAGGATTTGGTAGTATCCGTCAACCAAATCCAGCGCACTGTACAGTACGCTCCCGGCCATGTTGTTCAACAACACATCCTTTCGTGGGATCGGTGTTTGGGCCGGCACCGTTGCGTTGTTCAGCTTGTTATAAGCGTGAACCAGACGCCACTTTCCGTTCGGCTTCCGAACGCAGAAAGTCGGCGTCGAGTGCGGGGATTTCGATTCCCGCACCCTGCCTGCCTTCGCTTTCGCGGCGAAGAAGGCATCAATGACCTCGCACTGTTCGCGCGGGAGAGGCCATTGCCTCGTGACACAATACTTTGTGCCGGGCACGAGATCAATCTCGTGCCGTACGCCTCGATCCGGTGGGAGTTGGGTCGGTGGGTGTTTGTTCACCACGTCCGCATACTCCGTCACCAAAGGATACACCGGATCCTTGAGGTTCTTGAGAATCTCAGAACCCAAGCGCGCCTGACGCTGCTTGTTCATGTCTTCCAGGACGTTCTCGTCCAAGACAGAGGAGGAGTTCAGCTCCTCCTGAGTGGTCTCAGGACTCATGAGTACCATCTCAGCAATCTCTCCAGCCTTGAGGTTGGCCAGGAAAGACTCAGCCGTCATTTCCTCGAGGTTCAGTATCTCCGCAACCTCTGGCAACGGCTCCAAGTGGACACCAAATGCCTTGACGGGTAAACCTGTCTCGCCATCGAAGATGTGATAACACTCTTCCACCGGCCTTGTCGGAGGAACCCGGGCCCTGGCCTCCGAGTCGCTTGAAGCGACGTCGATCGGAACGAAGCTCGGATCCGACTTGAGGCGGCGGCGGTGTCTTTGCCGACGGCGTCTGTGACGGGGAGCTTTGCTGCCCACGTCTAGGGATGTCGTCGCTACGACATCCGAGGCACTCGTGGCCTCGTGTGATACTGTTGTACCCACACAGGAAGCGTGTTCAACGCCTTCCTCTTCAGTTAAGGTCTGGGCGACCGCGTGTGGCACTGTGTTACCCACACAGGAAGCGTATCCGACGTCTTCCTCTTCAGTTAAGGTCTGGGCGACCGTGAGTGGATCTCTGTTACCCACTCTGAACACGCTGTTCTCAGTGTTCATGACAGCTGCAGCTGTCTGCGGAACTAAGTTACCCACCTGTGGACCTAAGTTACCCACTTGGCCGACGCCTCTTCTGGGCGCGGCCACCATCAAAACATCCTGGGAGTCGTCATATACGTCGACGACTCCCAAGCATCTGCCGGATGCTTTGGTACCCTGGCAGCCCTCGCGGGCGCCCCGGGTCCTGACAGAGGTGGGAACATGACTCACCAATGCTCTGTCGGACTGCGCAGGGCGGCTGGCACCGATTGCCTTGCCTCGCCAGTCGATCCTGGGCTCGTGCTTCTCAAGCCAGGGCATGCCCAGGATCATATCATATGGATCCATATCGAGAACAGTGAACTGTTCGAGGCTGTCAAAGTCTTCAAACTTGACAGCCAGATCCACTTGGACGTTGGGGACAGTGACGACCTTCCCGTCGGCCAGTCGCACTGACACCGTCCCGTTGCCCTTGCTTTCTCTCAAAGCTTCGGACAACTTGTTGCTGTTACGAGCAACCGTCTGGCGGCGTGCGAAATTATCGACGCTCCAGAGTCAATCAAGATTCTGAAGGAATGATCGTATCCCCGTACACATCCGTGTACTACGAGCAACCCGCCGCTGCTCTTCGCGGATTCAAAAGTGCGAAGACTCTCAGGGGCTAAGTCCCCGTGGTACGCGCCACCCGCGCACCCATCACGAAGACTTAGTTCTTCCCCAGTAGGGCGCCCCGCCCCTACTGGTTCCCTGCGTTCCCCTGTCCCCGGGATCCTGGCTTCTGCCAGCGACCCTTGAGGACGGGCTTGGGGAAGGACCGTCTGCGGAGTCTTTCCGCGGGACAGTCGCGCTTGAAGTGGCCCATCTTCCCACAGCCGAAGCAGCGGATGTCACGCTGTTCGGCGGACCCGAGTTCCATGGGAACTGGTCCGTTGGGGCTTTTTCGACCGGGAGCCGACCAGGAGCTCCCAGGCCACGCTGAGGCTGGCGTACGCGCCTGGCAATGGCTGTACTCTTCTTGAAGAGCCACTTGAATCGCCTCTTCAAGGGTGCTTGCCTGCACCCGGAACAGCTGAGTGCGTGCGGGGCCCACTCGAAGGCCGTCTTCTGGGCTCTAGGCCCTTTGTGATCTACACAGACCACGCGTCCTTGAGGACGGCGACTAACTCGCCTCACCTCTCCCAAAGGATGGCGAGGTGGCTGTCCTTCTTCGCGGAATACAACTTCCGCGTCGAATACAAGCCGGGCAAGCTCAACGTGCTTGCGGACGCCCTCTCTCGGCGTCCCGACTATGAGTTGGCCCACATCACGCGGGTGACAACGGATCTATATGATCGGATACGCATGGCGTATCGGGACGATGAGGCTG